TAATAATATTAATCTATTTTCCTTAGGAAAAGAAGAAATAGTTATTAATCCTTAGTTGTATGCTTTATCGAATTATTTCGGCAAGACCCTTCGTAAAAAGGTGTCACTAGTCAATTTCAAGACCATAGTAAAAAAGATGAAGAGAACATTTTTGTAGACCTTCTTGAGAATGTTGAAAACTCTATTCAATTCTCAAGAAAACCTAGAGACCATAAATTCAATGATAGGTGATCAGTTTGAGGATGCCATTTAAGATTAAGCTATGTGCATCTGAATAAAGTAGAATAAAGCGCATCAGCTCCAAGGATGGGAAATTGTCTTCATGATTAATGATAACTATGAGCGAAAGAAAGGTTTCCGTCAAGAAAAATTAATGTCAGCAAAACCACCAATATGATGTATATGTTATAGTCTCAGAAAATGTTACATTCTGGGAATAGTCTTCCTAAAATAATTTATCTGCATTAAGTTTATTCTAAAACTGGTTTATGATATGGGATGACGAAATCTCAGTAAATTGTACATCATTTTGCAAAGCATAATTTTTTCGTAAATATCCAGCAGAGAGTTATAATCCAAACTACTGGTAAAACTTACCATAACATCAGAGTTAATTGAACTAATTCCTGAAATGTCAATCACTCTACAGCAGGAGATATGTTATAAAAACTATAAAATCTACGATAAAATTATCCAAAGCTTAGAAAAAACATTGAAAAGCTGGTGTATCATTAAGATCATGACCCTTGTAGTGAAATGACTGTAGTTACTGTACATGTGAGAAGTCCTCTGATAATGAAAAAGTCAGTGTAAAAATAATGAAAGCTGATATTCCATGCGTATTTTTACAGGAAAGTCATAAATGTAAATTGTACAGAGAACATACTTAGATGATCAGCAAAAAATGTTAGTATTGAGCTAGTTGAGTTAGTATTAAATGCATTAAACCTGAAGCAAGAAGATTATTTGGGTTGTTACTAACTTCCTACAGTCCACAGATTAAGATGCCTTGGTTTCCGTTTAAGCAATATAGTAACATAGTGTGAAGATGTGAAAGCCAAAACAAATCTTACAATTTGTATTAGCTTTTTTTATTGTTCTGAAGAACTTCGTCATCTCATTATAATCTTTCAACATCTAGACTCTTTTGAAGATAGAGTGCATGAAATATTCTAGAGAGTTGAATGTCTTCTAACAATGAAAATGTGAAACTTAATGTCTAAGCATAATTTAAAATAGTAACTGTTTCGTTTTACGTCCACTACTATAATGAAAATAAGTATATATATAATTATAGCACTTATTGTAAGGTTGTGGCGATCAAATATCATTCGTTGTAATGTTTATAATAGCACATATGATCACCTAAGTCTAATTATTAATTATTTACTAATATTGTTAGCATAATTACTATATACTAATTACTGGGATAAAACTAGTACTATATACTATTTACTAGTATAAAACTGGGATAAACTAGTTAGTAATTACTTACAAGGTGACTGAAGCATTGAAACTGGTTAACTACTTTATTTTGAGTGTTGAATACCTATGGATCTTTATTCTGATTAGGGCGAAATTTTGAGTCTATACAATGAGCTGAATGAAATGTGTAAACTTTTCAAGATTAAGAAAAACGACGGCAATATTCCTTCATACTTCTTCAGATGGGATGATAGGATGGTGTAAACCGTACAGTGTTGAACTAGCTAGTCGCGATAAACAGAAGACGATGGATCGATACTTTCTATTTCTGAAACTATTGGCTATAACTACAGTATACCTCACGTTTAGTCGTAAACTGTATGTTTCCTAGGGCCTTCTGTACAGTTGCTCGGTCAGTGAAACAGGTGAAAATTATTTCAAGCAAACGTACTGATTACATAATTCCTTTAAAGGACATCGACATTGCCCATAATTTTTTCTATGATAAATGTCTGATTAAATTGAGAGTCTCTCGGGCAAGTGAAAAAGAAACCTATACCAAAACGTTTCACTTCTTCAGTTAGTATAAGTTTAGAGAAATGCTCGGATTTCCTTGTCAGATATATTTCCCGAGTTGAAATAAAGTCAATCATTGGCAAGGTGGAGAGATAGTAATGATTGAAGACTGGTAAATCTGGGTGTCAACGTATTGATGTTACGAGTTAAGAGCAACACAAGAAGAAATATATATCTTGAGAGTTGAGTAGATGCTGGAAATATCCATATGCAGTGGTAAACAAAATCAACGATGTGAAATGCCATATTTAAAATGCTGTAAATTCTAATAATTATGAAAAATTATCTAGGGGACTTCTCATTGTGAGAATAGTATAGAGTTGTGCACTAGCATATTACTGTCAATTATCTAGAGAATTTCCCATTGTGAGAGTCGTACAGTTATGCACTAGTGTATTACTATCACTTCTATATTTTTTATTCAGAAACTGTATTGTTTTATAATGTAAACATATGTTTATTATTATAATATGCATTTACAAGTTTAGCTCATAAATGCTTTTACTGTATTGCTATTGGTAAAGATAACCAAGAAGTTTTTTTTTACTGTAACAAGAGCGCCAGCTAAAAAATAGTTGCTAGATTGTATGAAAAACATTATTCCAAGGTTAAGGGAACATTCAAGAGAATTTAAGTGAACCTAAAGAGTCTTTTTTGAATGTAAGTGGTTAGTGAATAGGTTCGAATATTTTGTATACTTTGAGTTTAGGTAAAGCTACGTAAAGGAGGTTTAGTTGGGATATTTTTTACTTCTATATATTTAACAAGGCAGTATAGAAAGGAAGGGTATTATTGGAATTGAGATTATATTGGGAGAAATAGAAATAATATGTTTTAATTAATGGAAAAGTATGATTTGAAAATTGATATATTGAATTGTGGAACTTTAACCAAATTGTTTTTATTCATACTACAATAAATTATCAAGTTTTCATTTCATAGTAACGTTGAGCCATTTGTCAAAACCAAAAGAATAACATTAAAAGCGTGGTTGTTAGCAGTATCTAGTATTTGTTTAAAATGCAATATAGTTAAATATGGCGAGGGAGAAACCATGCCTAGCTTTCCTTTTATATATATATATATATATATATATATATATTCCCCCGGTAGAACAGCGGTGAGTTTAAGGACTTACAACGCTAAAATTCTGGGATCGAATATTATACCCAACCATTGTTTAAATTGCCCAATACAGTTGCTTAAAATATGTTAAAACTATGATATACTTAGCTGGCATTGTTATTATCAGAAACGTATTTTATGTTATGAGACTACTAATTATTCAAAATATGGTATGATAATATTCCAATTTTGTACAGTTATATAATTATTTATTATAAACAAATTCAATTTGAAAATGTAAATTTGAGCAATACAGACAATACGTAAAAAGTCAGTAATAATCTATATTTCCCTTTAAAACTTCTCAAAATACGAATTAGCGAATATAAAATTGCAATAATGCTGCAACATAGTGCATAACCTAAAGATATTTCATTAAAGCATTTTACCTGAAGTCATGGTCATAATTAACGTGTGTAATGGTCAACAAACTATTCAATTTAACGTCACGGAAGTAATTTACATGTCAGCATAATTAAATGTTTTATCTACAGATCACACAATTAAAAATAGATAAGATTATTCATCTTGTGTTACTTTTCATAAAAAAGTTAATAATACAATATAATCATCTCCAGCTTATCACTTTTCTTCGGTACAGCGACTGGTTTGGATATATTCAACTTTCAAATGGCCTATACCTTATATCTATATTTTTTCAGGGGGTTCTTTCTAATATAATTGCTAGTACAGCAGTGTCGATACAATGATTTGAAAATTATAGCTATTCAACTAAAATTTCCTTATTTTCCAGTGTTATGTACATTTCAATATCTTAGAAGAAATGAAACAAATTGGTTGTTATTATGTGTTAACATTGTACGATGTTTCATCCTCCGAAGCACTTTACTTCTGATCTTGGGTTTATCGTCAATAAAATCTTGACTGCTGCAAATATTCTTATCGTAATTCGTCACACCCACGACTTCTAAAATGTCCTTGCTTTGCATGTATTATACCTTAAAAGGAATTGAATATTCTAAAACAAATTTAGCAAAGCCTTTTCAGTGTTCTTATTCGAGAATACTACCTGGTTATAAATATGACAACTGAGTACAATAGACACACAGAACGCTAATAGTCATTAAATTGAATAATATCTGTGATATTTAATATGCCATTTTCTACGCTGTTTTTATTATTAATAATTTTGTATATCACATTGAATAACTGTTGAAAAAATATATGTATATTGATTACGTAATAATTTCATTTCGTTGTTTTAAATCATAAATTTTTTTGTCAAAGTTATATATATTCTTTTGAAATTATTCTGTCTACAAAATGAAGAAGCGTTTATACTAAAACTACATATCTGCTGTCATATATTTGAACTGCAATCCTATGGTATGCTGCAAGATAAATACATATTCATTGTTGACGGACATAAAATATAATAGAAGTAAATATACCTTCAAAATAGTCTATGCTCTGTCGAAAACATCAGTAACTTCTTATTCAGTAGATAAGAAAATTTTTCATAGAAATTTAGGAGTTCTTGAATTCACGTTATGAGTTTGAGCTTACATTTTTAGCCATTAGGGACTAAGCTCTCACAACAAATGGAAAGCCATATTTCTTTTTTTTCTATCTAGTTAATTGTCCAATCAGTATGTCTGATTTTAATCAGCATTACATTTAAGGGAAGAGGATAAATAATATAAAACTATTAGTATTCGTAATAATTTTACAGCCCCCCAGTGGCACAGCGATATGTCTGCTGACTTACAACGCTAGAAACCGGGTTTCGATACCCGTGATGGGCAGAGCACAGATAGCCCATTGCGTAGCTTTGTGCATAAATTCAAACAAATAAACAATAATTTTACAAACGAATACTTTTTTAAACGTATTTTTTTCCTCAAATTTATTAGGAATTTTCGCTTACTTGAATTATTTGGAGCCACGCACAAGACGAGAAATCTTAGAATACCTCATCAAAGGCCTTCAGAGATTAGAATATCGTGGGTACGACTCAGCTGGTACGTATCGTTTTTGACGGACTTTTGTGTTGAAGTGGAGAGTTTAATATATGCATTTTAATTGTTTTTATATCATACAGTTTTCTGTAATGAAGTAGAAAGGTAGTTAAGACAC